GCAAGTGCAGAAACTCATTGGAAAAAAAAAACCAAACAACCCCAAACCAACCCACTGCTGAAAATTGAGCAGAAGAGCTCCCGTGGAAGCCCCTGAGCCGGGTTCCAGGCAGGAGCAGAGCACTCCAGCCTCCCACAGTCCTCTTGCCTCACAACTGCCTGGGCCACAATACACCTTGGTTGCTGCTCCAGGGCTTGTGCTACGTGTGTGGATGAACCGTTTGCCTTTATCTCCAGCAGGTGGGACATTAAAAAGGACAATCATGTCACTTCCCACCTAGCCCATGCTCCAGATCAGTGGTGGAAGGTACTTGTCTGCAATGTGAAACAGCAGCTCAAAGCCCCCTGAAAGGAAACCCTTCAGCTCACAGAAATAATTACAGTGGCAGTTTCACAGGAGGTCACAGGAGCCTTTGGAAACCTCCTGGTTAAAGCTGAGTAAGGGCCCAACATCCCGAGTCACCGGCACAGCCCTGCGATGGCCAGATGCCGGCCCGGTACCCGGGGTGCAGGGCAGCTGCTGAGCTGCTGCTGGGGAGCTACTCACTGCTTTCCACCAGGTCCCTGGGGAGTGGAGGCCGCAGTTCTCGCTGAATTCTAAGCAGCAGGAGTCCGGCACCCGGGTTGTATTGTACACGTCAAACCAGTCAGTGTAGTTGGAGACTCCACAGCACCTGAACTGGAAAAAGAAGAAGTGAGATGACACCGTAAGCATGAGCTGTCACTGGCTTCTGCTCGTTCTGGCTTCAGCCTCCTAGGGCTGGACATTCAGTGCATTTCCGTGACACCAGCAGAGGCTTGAAATTTTAAAGAAATACAAAGTTTCCTCAGCTTTACCCAAACAGACCCTTTCCCCCACTCTTTTATATGTTTAATTACGGTCTTGTGTGTAGCTAGCATTGGTACAAGAAGCAAAGGCACCATTAAGCAGTGGCAGGACACGGCACAGCTACAGCAGGACAATCCCAGCCACGTACTGGGGTTAAGAGTTGATGTGACTGAGCAGGATTTATAACTCTCGTTTGCAGCTTGTTGTCAGGAAAAAAATGATTTAAGGTACAGATACAGCACCCAGGAGATGGAGACACTGGGATCTCTACGGCACTCTACTTCTGAAATCATGATTGAAGTTAACGAGGCAAATTTCTCTCTAAGCTGTTAATTACTGATCACCTTTGAAACTCTCTGTCAGTCAGTAAAAGATGTATTTCCTCCTCTTCTCTCTTTGGTCCTTAATGTTTCCATCCATCTGATGCTGCTAAAGAGAGGTGCTTGAAGCGCCTGCACACGGCGACGCAGCGCACGATGCCTGTCAGTGCCACATCGCAAGCTCTGTTCGACTTTGGCAGTGGGATGAAGGTACCCGACATGTCCCTAACAGGACAGGGATTGGCGGTGACCAGCTTCCCCCTCTGGGAACTGGCCTGTTCCTGTGACACTAAATAAGCAAAGGCTCATTACCATCTAGATGTATTCACCATCTGTCACTCCTCTGCTAACGCTAAAATGCCTGAATTTGCTGGTATTTAGACACTTTGCCACTAATGAGTAAAACAAGACGACGTGGGGCTGCAGAACTGCTCTCCACTACGTCACACTTTTTGAAGACTCTGCCAGCCACCTACTTAGCCCCAGAATGACTTGCCAAGATCTGATTTTTTAACTGTGATTTTATATAAGCCCATAACATGCACTCATACATTCTGCTTCACATCCCTACAGAGACCGTTTCTCTTGTTGCTGATGGACTCAGAACCATGTAGATGTCGGCACCACCAGAACCAAGAAGCTAACTCAGATCACGATGTTTACCCTGGCTTGAGGGAGTTCTCCCAGTATCTGTACTGGTTGTGGAGTCAGTGGGCTGGGAGGGACGAGTGTTGCACACCCAGGATCTGCCATTCCAGACCAATAGATGGCAGGGGTGTCATGCGCTGCCTCCCGCATCCCACCGCGCTTTGAGCACCAGCAGAAAGTCCTCCCAGTGCTCCCAGCGTTGTTTTCCTACTGCCAAGAGAAGTAAGTAAGTCAGCAATCCTTCCCAGACTAACATCTATCCCCACAAGGTTCTGCTCACAGTTCTGATTTGCCCTGTGGCAGGAATCACTCATTAGGTTGCAGCGGTTTGGTTTGGCAGTTTACAGGCTTAATTCTCTACAAACTGACTTGAAAGTAAAAAAAACTTTGTGACTTTCTTTTTTTTCCCCTATGTTCCTGCACACGAGCCAGGAGCTCCGTGTGTAACAGGTCTGAAGAGCGGAGAGGAGCCGCATGGAACACATGGCACGCATTTGAGAAAGCTGGTTTATCTGAAATCTAACAAGAAGGTCTTGCACGCTGTCATCGTTAGAGTCAGGAGGCAGCTCTCTGACAGACAGTGAGAAGTGACAGCTTGTAAATAGCAACCCTTGAAAATGTGGCTCATCTGTGATGCAGAGAGCGCAACAGTAAGGGCTGAGACACTTGAGTGATGTTCCAGCCAAACACGAGTGACACGAGTTTGCATAAATGGGGACTAGACCCCTTCTCCCCATCATACCGCATGGCTGAGGGTGTCCAAGTCTGACAGACGAAGATGAAGATGAAGATGATGTGTGCGGGTGTTGTGGTTAAGGGCTCTGACCACTGCTGGGGACACCTGTGCCTGTGGAGCCTGGGAAGCAGAAGGTGGCTGGGCCACGAGCTGGGGCTGGGACTCCAAAGAGTAAGATCGTGGTAAGCCCGGAGGTGGGAACAGGAAGGGGTGCAGTGGCAAAGACAAGCTGCAGCTGGACACACGCTGCCTGCCCACACTGACCCTCTGTGTATTGTACAAGAGCAGAGGATTAAATATTGCTACTCGCCTGACAAGGCAGTTCCAGCCAGGGGAGAAGGGGCTAAGAAAAGATCAAAGGTGAAAAAGAATGAAGTAACATGAAGCTTAGTAACCTTGGGACGGGAAGAAATAACATAACTGGAAGAGACGTCATGTCTCTGGAAGACACAGGAAGGACGAGCAACGGAACTGGCAGCGGATGATGCACAATCTGGAAGGAGAGGAGGGACAAACACGGTGCTAACAGCACAGCGACCAGAGAGGGCACGAGCAAGGGAAGGAGCAGCGTTTGGTGAACACCAGGTCAGGTGAAGAGCATCTCTAGGGAGCAGAGGCACTGACCCATGGCAGTAGGCCAAGGAGGCAAGAACAAGGAACCAAACAGCAGTGGGGCTGAATGAGTCATCAGTGCAGATGAAGCAAAGGGGTTCTGTCTTCTGCTCGAAGGCAGAAGGAGGGGTAAGCTGAGAGCTCAGCAAATTCAGAGACTTCATTATGGAGGTCCAAGAAGAGGAGAGTGTGGGAGTGATTTTGGACCATGTGACAAGGACTGATTTATCCTGTGGGCATAAAGCTGAATGATAAGTAGCCAAATTATTGAGGGAGATGAGGGACTATGAGAAGAAAGGGGAATATTGAGGACAAAGAGCAAAATAAGAGGATTGTTTTAGAGTTGCATTAGATCTGAGAGTGATGTTCTCTTTTTGAAATTTACAAGGTTTCTGAGCAAGGGTGGATGCAGACAGTCCTACACTGGGAGGATGGAGAAAGCTCAGGTCACATGAAGGATAATTTCTGAGTTATACCAGACTTCACAGTCTTCCACAAGGCTGATGTTCTGCCAGTGCCACAAAGTTAAACTGCCTGACTGTCAGGAACCAATTGCAGACTTGATTCTTGCTACAGCCACATTTGGTTTTTGGTCACATTTACAGTCCCGTTTGTTCCCTTCAATAGTTAAGTAATAAAATTAGACAAGGTTGTCTCATCGATCAGTTCTGTTCCTGGTTTCAACAGGGAACAATACACTTATGTCTAAAAACCATTTTTTTTTTTTAAATTACAAACTAACAGTGCTTATTCTGGGGTAGCCAGACTAACACACTTTCATCTGTGGAAAACATCAGGTAGTGTCTGGAACAGCAGTAACCTGGGGACACCCTGACTCGGACACTGAGGTCACTTGATCCTGGGGCTCGCAGCTGGGCAGGGGCAGGAGTGATGAGGTGCAGCTGTACCTGCCTACAGGAACCAGCACGGTGACCCTCAGGCAGCAGTTCTGGGGACACTCCTACAGTGTGTGGCCGTTGCTCAAACAAGCAGAAGCTTGTCAAATGCCTTTGAGTATCTGAGCTCCTGCTGCTGAGTATTTCCAGGAGTCATAGAATCAAAGAATCATAGAATGGTTTGGGTTGGAAGGGACCTTAAAGCTCATCCAGTTCCAACCCCCCTGCCATCAGCAGGGACACCTTCCACTAGACCAGGTTGCTCAAAGCCTCATCCAACCTGGCCGAGAACACTTCCAGGGAGGGGGCATCTACAACTTCCTTGGGCAACCTGTTCCAGTGTCTGACCACCCTCACAGTGAAGAACTTCTTCCTAATATCTCATCTAAACCTCCCCTCTTTCAGCTTAAACCCATTTCCCCTTGTTTTGTCATTAACTGCCCTTATGAAAAGTCCTTCCCCAGCTTTCTTGTAGCCCCTTCAGGTACTGGGAGGCCGCTATAAGATCTCCCCGAGCCTTCTCTTCTCCAGGCTGAGAACTCTCCAGCCTGTCTTCATAGGAGAGGTGCTCCAGCCCTCGGATCATCCTGGTGGCCTCTTCTGGACTTGTTCTAGCTGCTCCAGGTCTCTCTTGTGATGGGGGCTCCTGGCGATACGCTGCTGTTTGTCTCCCGTGTTTCACATGGGAAGCTCTCTCTCCTGAGATGTCAAATCCATTCTTTCCCTCCTTTGTTAGAGACATAAATCACTCCCCTGGTGATTACCTGTGGGGTTCTGAAGCAGCTTGGTGCTCCCCAAGAGCTCAGGACACGCAGGGGCTGCTCGACACGACGCCACAGTCCAAGGTCGTGCTGCTGAGTGCTTTTCCCAGCCAAGCAGCACCACCAGCACTGAGGTCTTTCTGTGGTACTTATGGAACGCAATGCTGCTTGAAATTGCTTTATTTTTGTGTTAACAAGTAAGTGCTGCCCTAGCACAGGGTAACTAGGGCTGGTAATTAATGTGAAACACCAAGTTTCTATCTTGGTGCTATAAAGATGTAAGGAGTTGGATGTTTGTACCTATTTTACAGGCAATCCCAGCACTGAAGGCTAAGGAAGCCTTATTTTCTTTGCCAAATTCCTGCAAAATCAGCCAGGATGGGATAGGGTTCATGAAAATAAAGAGACACACAATCCTTGCTGCAGGCAGGTTTTGGCAATTCCTGGTTTTCTGGTGCTGTGAATGTGACAGAGAACGAGGAACAGGGTAAGGTGCATTTTTTTTCCACCTTTTTACTCCATCACTGTAGTGGGTGGTGTGGGTAACTTCAGCCGTGATGCTAAAGTACAGTTTGATCTAACAGAACCCCTGACTGCGGCAGAGGGAGATGGGTCAAATTTTGGTCTCCGTTACAGTGGGCTAAATAGACCCGAAAGGCATCACAGCAGTAACCGTGAGCTGAATTTGCTCACTCCAGTGAAGCTAACGTGTTTTCTGCACACCCCTCGAATTACTGCCTGGTTAGCAGAAAGAAATGTTCAAATATTGATCACAAAGGTGCTGGGGAGGAAGCAACAAGGTCCCTCCCAACCCAAACCATTCTATGAGTCTATGATTTTTTCCAAGATAGGAGCAGGAGAAATGAAGCGATGCCAGCACCATGATCACTCATGTCTGAGGGCACTGCTTTAACCACGGTGCTGTCCTTCTGCTCAAGCTCTGAAAAACACTTTGCAAAGAAAGGAGTGTGAACTCAGAGAGGACAAGGGAGAAGGATCCATCCCAGTTTCTGTTACCATCATGTTTTTTACATGTCATTCTCTTTTCTGAGGCTGCTGTTTTCCATCCATGTACAGACACGGCCCATAGCTCCACCAACACTGCTGTCTGCTGGTCCCATCAGAGAAGCCAGCGCTGAGCTGCTGTCCTCCACGGCCGTGTGGTTAGCTCTGACGTGGGGGGTTTTTAAGAGCTGTCTCTTAGGAGCCAGAAGGCAAACAGCAAGCCTGGGCTGGGACTTGCCTTTCAGCAAGTCCCCTGTACTGCCCTAATCCTCCTATCAGTGATTAGGCTCTACTGATTAGGGATGTAACGGATAACGATTATTACTGAACACAAAAAATAATACTTGGCATTTACATAGTGCTATTCAACTGCAAAGTGTTTTACATAATTAACCATGCTGGGATTGCCTGCGCTGCACCACTGCAATCCTCTGTTCCTAAGTAGTTCTGAAAGATACATGTGAAAACCAATTATGCAGAGCAGTAAGAACGGATCTGTGGGAGCTCTTTGTCCTTCTCCTCAGCGCCCAGTGCGGGGAGCACGGAGACTTTAATGCTGGGGTATTGTCAAGACAGTGCATGGTAATTTCATAGTTGTCATTTTAGAAAACAGAGTGACAGGACATGACTGTGCATGGCTTGTGAGATGGCACCTTCCTATTATCTTCTGGGCTTCTAAGACCTGGCTAACATTAGTTTCATCTGAAACTTTAAGAAACTCTTTAAACTGAAAAAGCTTTCAAGGCCAAAGGAACCGTGAAGACAGTTGAGCATGGCTGTAGCACCACACAGGCCACAGATGGTTGAGTCCTGCCCCAAAGCCAAGCTTGTCACTGAGCAAGACCATTTCTTTTTGACCAAAAACCCTGTCTTGGCTTCAGAGAAAAAGAATCCACCATCCCGCTGTACAATGGCATCCCACCATCAGGTATCTGCACCCTGGATCAGTTACAGAGCCCTGTTCCCTTCCTGCTCTCTTTGTAAGGACTGCTATCACATCACTACTTCGCCTTTTCCTGGTTAGAGAAACCATTTAACATCTCTCACTGTAATGTAAATCTCCCAAACCCTCATTATTCTTTTCCATCTCCTCAGAATCCAGTCCAGCTTGTGAACATCTTGAAAAAATGTGACTAGGGGTCACATCAGGTGACTACGGGGTTTATATCCCGTAAGTTGTCCCAATTATACTTTTTCCCCCACTTTTGCTATATGCTTTTAACAGTTCTTAGGATGTCACTGAAACCAGATTAATATTTACCACAAACATCTTAGTATTAGTAATTTTTACTACATTCTTACTATGCAGACTTAGGTTCATGTAAAAGAGTAAAACTTCTAATACTGCTGGATGCAAGGAATTCTATTCAAAATTTTCTCTATACTTCACATGTCTCACTCTTGGGCTAGTGCCACAAAATGCATTTCTCTTGTCAGTAACTGATGTCGCCTTATACTTGATCGGAGTGTTGGAGGAGGAAAATATTAACAACATTGCAAGATGCTGAGGCCTTTTAGAGGCAACCCAAAGAACCTTTCACATGCAGTGGTCAGGATGCAGGACTGGAAAGCTCATAGCTTGTCTGCTGGACCTGACACACAGTCCTGTTGCTGTCAACCTACTGCACCCAAACTGACACCTCCCACAGCCCCAAGATGCACGTGGAGTTTGGCCAACCTGTTCTTTTGTTCTGTTAGTGACCCCAGATTTTTAATTTCTCAGACCTTTTCTTAGCAGCCTGCCACTCATGTTATAGAATCCCAGACTGGTCTGGGTGGGAAGGGACCATAAATTTCATCCAGTCCCACCCCCCCTGCCAGCAGCAGGGACACCTTCCACTAGACCAGGTTGCTCAAAGCCTCATCCAACCTGGCCTTCAACACTTCCAGGGAGGAGCAGCCACAGCTTCTCTGCCCAACCTGGGACACTGGCTCACCACCCTCACACCAAACAATTTCTTCCTCACATCTCATCTCAATCTCCACTCTTCCAGTTTAAAGCCCTTACATTACCTTGTATCATACAGAAGAGCAGATGTGAATCTTGACACTACCAGACTGAAAGATGTTCAGGATTTCAGCCCAAATGGCAATAGAGGAAGTAGAGGGGAAATGAGCAGGTTTATCAAATGAGAGTGTGGTAGGTAGCCCATCAATCCTCTGAAATAGTTCATATAACCTTGGAAGCACTGGGAGAGGTTGTCATCTTGGCTGATTTAAGACATCAGAGGCAAGAGGAAAGCCCTGCCTGTCTGTACCACACTAGCACCTCTGAAGGAGACTTTGAGAAAGCTATGCAAGATTTTTTGAGTGAAGCCAAAGCAGTAAAGTGCTTCCTGAAGCAGAAGAAAAGTTGGAGCACTTTTCCTCATTCAAGAAGCAGAGAAAACCGACTCAGAAAGATCACTCCCAAGAGAACTGATTGAACTGAATATGAAAAGAGAAGGACAGAGCTGATAAACCTGAACTGTCAGTGATGGTGTTTCCTCAGCGAGCCAGACAAGGACAAACGGAGGAAGCCAGCTGCAGTGATCACCCGTCCTTACGAGGCAAACACTGTCAAAGAATCAGGGTATGACAGCAGTGGCAACGTGGCACACAGCACTCCCAGCCCATCTGTGATGGGGATGATTCAATTCTGCTGGGAAAAACATACTGACTGTAAGAGGAGGTTGCAAACACCATGGCTGGTTCCCATTTTGACTGCACCAGTGGAAAACCAACAACAGCAACGGAAGGAGACAGGATGGAAATGAAAAGGGGTTGAAGTGGTTCTCTGTTATTATGCTCTTGCTCTTCGTTCCCACGTGAACTGTCCCTTTGACTTTAAAGAGAGGGTACTGCTTGTTTCCTGTCTGACCTTCACTCTCCACACAGCACAGGACTATATGATATTTACGTGTCAATACAACAGAATTTTTTTAAAAGAAACAAGCTATCCTGGTCAAAGGAGAGATAAATTAAAATTACCATTTGTTACAAAAAGCAGAAAGTTTAATTGCTAATGTGCTGACTGGGTGGGAGAAAGAGATTGGCTTGGGATCTGGAGGTTCAATGAGGTTCACACCCAGAACATGCTGTTACAGAACCAAGAGGGTAAAGAGGAAGAAAAGAAAAAAGCTGAGACTTACATCTGTTTGAATGATGCTCCACGCGTTAGTGAGGCCAATATTTCCATCTGTCCCGTACAAATGAAGCCCTTTCTTCAGGTCCCGCTGAGCATAGTTGTCGATCTAAAATCAACAACAAAGGACACAAACTTTGCTGAGTACCATGTTTCAGAACCCAAGTGCATGGAGCACTTTAAGGAGATGCTGGACAACACACAGTCTTATACTGAAATCAATAAAAAGTGAACAGACATTTCCTAAAGCCTTTCTCCAGCTGAGCTGGTATCTATCCAGGTATCTACTTTTTGTGAAGAACATGAGGAGTTCCTGTGCTGAGTCAGTGTTCATGTTTCCCATCACTGACCTCCAGAACATCCTTTCCCTTCTCACTTAACCACCAAAATACGATAGAGAGACTGGATTCAGTTTAATCACCCATTTTTTTGCAAATGAGGCCTATATATGAAAACATTCACCTACCCACAGCATTTCCTCTTAGCTTATTATCTTTAATTGTGACCAAGTACCCCTCAGCATCTTCTGTTGGCTTCCTGGGAGATCAGCAGCAGCATTAACATTGTCCTGATGCTCTGAATTGTGTTCATTATCTCAGCCAGGGTACCCCACTTCTTACAGCAGGATGGCCAGAGTTCTGTTCAGGCAGCAGGGAATGAGCTCTCCAAAATTCAGGACAGACAGGATTTAAGAATTTAGTTACTAAAAGGAGCTGCTCTTAAATAAATGCATTTTTGTTGATTTAATGAAAGTTCAATGTTCTGCTTTAGAGGCTTGTGCAACTGAAGATGATGCTTTCTTGTTGAGACTCTGCTGGCAAAGCAGGTTATTGCTGGATCCACTGCTCAGCACCAGGCAGTATCCAAAGTGATTGGAACTGCCTCCCTCCCAGTCTAACCATACACACACATTCTACAGAACCAAGCAGACACAAAAAATGAAGTAAATATTAAATGGATATTAATGCTTTAACCTGATTTTTCTGTTGTAAATGCAAAGGACTGAATAGTGCTGCTGAAAATTTCCCCCTCCCCTGGCTGCTGGTCAGTGTCAGGGGCTGTTCAGCACCAGGGGTACAGCACCAAGGGTCAGCACGTCTGTCCCATCTGCTCCTCCATCAATCTGCTATAAATCTGACTGCAACATACAATGCCACTCTGAGATCTTTCTGCTGCAATGGTCAAAAAGTAAAAAACAAAATTAAATTCACTACTTGCTTCATGGGGACAGTCCTGGTTAATACAGACTCTTCCATACAGGACAGACAGGCAGACACAGTGTATTCTCTAGGGATTGCCCCTCTGACAACAAGCGTTCCCACTGAGAGAGGTCTAAGATGAAGTAAGCAATGTTGATTTTGAGCTAACAGAGGGAACAAAGGTGTTCAGCTTCTACCATACACTTGGATTTCCCTTCTGCTTTTTCAGTCAGAATTGTTTTCATTTGCTCCTGGGAAAAAAAAGTGGATGCAAAGCATCTTCCACAGTGTAGAAGAGGAATTTTCAACCCACTACATCATAATTATGATGGGGTAAATGTAAAGTCACTCAACAAGATGACTCCATGAAAAGCTATGACCTCCAAAGTTCATCCTGTCCAAGAAATATGTGCAAAGGGTTGTGCTTGGTCTCTCCAGTTCTTTTGTTGCCTTCCCAAAAGTTTAGCACCATCAAGCTGAGCCACTAACAAACTAGCTTTGGGACAGCACAAGAAAGATACACAACTTCATCTCAGCACCTCAGCTATCCTGCAAGCACTTTCTCATGGATGACTATCTTGAACAGTAGGTGCTGGGCTCCCACTGTAATTATCATTGAAGCTGCTTTTGACTTTATGCAGAGATTATCCATAGTCATTGCTTAATTAGAAGAGAAAACCAAAGCTGAAAACTATCACTAAATTTGGAATTAGTTGAGAAAATTACAGGCAAAAAGGGATAAACTCATACGTGTGGGAGATTCACCTCTTTTTCACAGAGCTACTCCCTAGAGCACTGACGCTCTCATGATTGCCTAAGTCAGGGTCAAAAGGTTCTTCATCACCACCCAGAAATAACCTCATCCAGCACAACTGAGTCTGTGGCCCTTTGGCACCAGGAGAAAGGGGAAGGAGCCATCGGCCTTTGGTCCCCTGCCACTTGGGTCTGCAGCTGAGGTACCAGCATGAAGCCCCTCACCACCTGTGTCTCCCCTGTTTCCAGCCAGTTACACAGAGACTTTTTTTTACTGATGCATTATCTTGCACGGATCAATCAGCCTTGATGCAGAAGTAGCCTTGGACCTCTAAGAGCTCAGGTGATATTAAACCAGACCACTTCTCTCAGTCAGGCCGCGAGGCCTTCAGTGCCTATGTGCAGTCCTATTAAAAGCACACTGACCTCTGCTTGAATAACCTGTGTACAAGGACAGAAGATGGATATTTTTTCCCCTAATTGAAGCACTGTTTGAAGATCTAGACATATGATTCCTGCTGGCTTTGACCAGAGAGGGCTAAGTGAAAACTCAACACCTATTTGTGGAGCAGAGCTGGCAAATGCTCCTCTGGGTCATTCCATTTTCTGCTAACCTCAATTTTCTTTCTTCCTCAAGATATTTTTAGAATAGCAGGAACTTTTCAATATGCCTTTATTCTAATTGTATATTTGATTTAACTGAAAACTCACAAAACACCCCCAGCTGTCTCTTCTGCCTTCAATTTGAGTTTTTCAGAGAATGATCCTTCTGAAAATGAAATGCTGCACCACAGTGATTCATCACGTCTCCTGACAAATGATCCCACCCAGCACTCACCAATCTGCCAGCTCCTCTTGTTTGTCTCTGTGCTACCAGTCCTTAGCCAGGCAAAAAGTCTATTGCAAAACAGGGACTCTAAGTACTACATTAAATATCCTGCAATTTGAATTTGCTGCCAGCTCCCATACGCAAGCCAGGCCCTTCACAAAGCACATCTCTATCTAGTGAAGAAGCACAATAAAGCAGAATAAAAACTCTTGGCAGGTAAACCATTACTGTAAATGAGATGCCTATTTTTAGTCACGTGGAATACCAGAGATTTCCTTAGGAGAAAATGTTTCTGAAAGGTTAGGCAGAAAGAACCTTTCATCAATCTGGAAGTGAAGCAGAGAAAAATTCTCTTCCTCCCTGGGATTCACTGGTGAACAGATGAGAGGTGTAAGCTTCAAGCTGGCACCCCCATCCACGCCAATTCCTACGACTTCTGGCTTCAGACACGCTGGGGGCTCGCTCATGCTTATCAGCACCACCACATTTCAGTGGTTTCCACTACCATAAATTGCGTCCTGTTGCTTGGAGTGGTAATCTACTACAATCCACAACTGCAAGAGAACCACTTATTCGAGTGGGACACACAGATTACTGGCACTTTATCTAGGGTAAGATCCTGTTCCTGCTGCATGAGCACAAATACCTCCTCAGGCCCAAATTTGGCTCTTCAATCTCACATTGTCCTATTAAAGACTTTCTAAAAAAACATATACTCCTCTAAGGTAGACAAGTCATGTGCAGAGAGTTTCAGGCAATGAAGGAAACTCACTATTTGAACTAGAGAAGAGAAAGCTACAGGAGATGCAGCAGGACTGGAAAGAAACTGCCCCAGAGGTCAGGAAAAGTGGCTGGAGGCAGGTGATGCAGTGAGAGAGAATGGGCAGGGATCTACCTGAGCCTCATCAAAACTACAGCTGTGACAAAACAGCTCTTCAAAAATCTCACTTCAACTTGCATATAAATTCAGGCCAAATTAAAAAGCGGTTTCTTCTTAATCTGGATTCCCTCAAGACAGCTACTTAATCTGTAGCAATTTCCATGTGAGGCTTGTTTTACTGGCAGCTTCTTCTCCTCACTGCTTCGGCAATCTGCAGCCTCCAAGCAGAGCTGTGGCTGGCTGGCTGACAAGCCCAGCTGCAGAAGCCAGCATCCTTCAAGAGGAGCAAGAGCTGTCAGACTCCACTTTGCCTCCTCGAATAAGACAACCTAGGAATAATTGAGGCTGAGATAAAAACTGTGTAACAGCAGCAACAACAGAAACCCTGCTTAGCCCAGCCACAGCCCCGCTGAAAGCGCTGCACAAACGCTCTGGGCTGCAAACACCCAGCAAGGCTCAGCGTTATTTCCATCGCCGCGTTACAGACGGGGGCTGCAGCAGCCACCTTAGTTCCTGGGGATGTTTTGGCAGATGTCTCACTCTCTGTCTAAATGAAAGGATTTGGAGTTTATCTCTCCCTGGTAAGGCATGAAAGGGCAGACAAGTACTGCTCCCTGAGAAGCTCAGTCCTGTACTCTTGCTGCTGATGAGGAGGAAAAACTTTGGAGCAAAATTTCTTGGGCAAACAAGGAAGTTGTTTGTATCTGTGCAGAACATGGGCATCAATCAATGTTTAAAGCTAACATGGTGCAAGGCTTTGATCACACTGAAGCTATACCAACACTGAAGAGACAAAGTCCTTCCATGGTCCCAGCACACTGAGAGGGAAGGTGGCTTTGCCGTAATCCTCTCTGGAGAAAGGCCAAAGGGCAGCTCTGGAGGAGATCCTTATTAACTCCTTTTCAACATGCTGACAGCATGAGATGTCACTTAAAGATTCTGGCACAGCCTTTAGGCAAAGGCCAGAGGATGCCAGCAGCGTCCCCAGCTTTCTAACCTGCAGGCAAATGGAGACTTTTAATTTCAAGCCTCAGTGCTTCTCTACCACATCATGAACAAAAATTCCACCCAACGAGGCCCCTAAACTGGTCAAAGCCTCTCAGCAGCGTTTCAATATAGGTAAGTAAATACTCCTGACCTTTCTGGTGATTGCTTCCCCCACCTCTCTACCTCTCCACCAGAACAGGAGAGGCTGTAAGGAAATGACAAAATATCCAGGAGACTCCCACTGGGCACAACTTTTAATTTAATGCCTTGATAATCATTCTCTACAAACAGTAGGGAGTGGGAAATCGAATGTAAACAGAAAGTGCCTAATCTATAAGGTCATTTATGGAGGAGCCCTCTTGCCTGCTAAGAGCTGAGATTGATTGTACCAATAGGTAAGGCTTGTTTTAAATGAGATGTCCCCAAGCTTGTCTATAAGAATGAGAGCAGTACGTGCTCTC